AAGCTAAGGGTTTGTTTGTATTTTTTAGCCATTTTCTTTTAGTTCTTTTATGTATATTTACTTTAAAACTTTTGTTTTTGTTAATAGAAGATTTCATTTTCGTAAAAAAGTACCTTAAATCCAGGTTCTTTAAGCAGAAAAAAGAACACACGTTGTAGATATCGGCTATTGAGCCTTTATCAAACGTTGTGATTTTCTCTAAACTCATAATGATAATGATTATGTGTAAGAACTCTTTAAAAAAAGTTATAAAGAAAATCAAAAGCGGTCTCTAATGACTGCTCGTGTTGCTGATTACCGACCATTGGAGCAAAATGAAATTTAACCAAGCATACAATAAAGTTTTTTTTGTTTGCTTTAAGGGAAGAAGAAAGTCAAAGGGCGTTTGAGTAACACGAGTGTTTTTGTGTAACGCCGTTCATAAACTCAAAACCTGTGAGTAAATATTAAAGCGTTATTTTTGTTAAAATATTTCAAAAGAAAAAATTTTTCTCGTTTAAAAAGTGCAAAAAATACATGAACATTAAAAATCATTACCGGAGAGTTAGAGTAAATTGAATTTTTTATGAAGCAATTACTTTCGATTTTTATAACAAATAAGCCCTTTTGCTTCATTAAGCACGTTCTTTTTATTTTTAATAGGAATTAAATTAGAGCACTTTCTTTGAAAAACCGCGCATTAAATTCTTTTTTACTCTTAATGTTTAGTAATAACAAAAGTTTCTTACGTATAAGGTTGTATTAAAAAATGGGAAATAAGCCGATTTTACTTTGAAGAAATGGTTTTTCGTTTCGAACTTAAATACGAACTGGCATGAAAACGAAACATAAAATCGACATTTTTCAGGTTAAAAAAATTATTTTATCTTTTGCTGTAAAGCATACACATTTATTGTCATAAAATATTTTCGAAAAACGAAAACGTTGAGAATATATTAAAAGTGTTATGCTTTATTTAAATGTTTATTCTTAAAATTTTTACTTATTTTCTTTCCAAAAAAGAAATTTTCAGTTTAAGAAATTTCTTTAAATAATATAAATACTTTTTTAAATGAAACAAAATATATCGATTTAATTTTTTATATCAATGATAGTGTATTAAGATTTTTTTTTATTAATTTAGATGTATTAAGAAAATGTAACAAAAGACATTAGAAAGTTTTTATTTTTTAAAATTTGGTAACAATTGCTAATATTGTTATTATTATTGATTTTATTATTAAGAAACTTATGATTTTTATAACAAATAAGCCCTTTTGCTTCATTAAGCACGTTCTTTTTTATTTTTAATAGGAATTAAATTAGATCACTTTCTTTAAAAAACCGCGCATTAAATTCTTTTTTACTCTTAATGTTTAGTTATAACAAAAGTTTCTTACGTATAAGGTTGTATTAAAAAATGGGAAATAAGCCGATTCTACTTTGAAGAAATGGTTTTTCGTTTCGAACTTAAATACGAACTGGCATGAAAACGAAACATAAAATCGACATTTTTCTGGTTAAAAAAATTATTTTATGTTATGCTGTGAAGCATACACAGTTATTGTTATAAAATATTTTCGAAAAACGAAAATGTTGGGAATATATTAAAAGTGTTATGCTTTATTTAAATGTTTATTTTTTAAGATTTTTACTTTTTTTTCCCTCCAAAAAAAGAAATTTTCGGTTTAAGAAATTTCTTTAAATAATAAAAATACGTTTTTAAATGAAACAAAATATATCAATTAAATTTTTTATATCAATTAAGATTTTTTTATTAATAAAATTGTATGAAAAAGAAATTTTCGGTTTAAGAAATTTCTTTAAATAATAAAAATACGTTTTTAAATGAAACAAAATATATCAATTAAATTTTTTATATCAATTAAGATTTTTTTATTAATAAAATTGTATGAAAAAGAAATTTTCGGTTTAAGAAATTTCTTTAAATAATAAAAATACGTTTTTAAATGAAACAAAATATATCAATTAAATTTTTTATATCAATTAAGATTTTTTTATTAATAAAATTGTATGAAGAAATTTAAAAAAAAATGTTACGAAAATGTTTAAGTTGCAATAACTTTTGATTATGAAAATAAATAAGCCTTTTTGCTGCATTAAGCATGATCTTTTTGTTTTTAATAGGAATTAAATAAGGGTATTTTCTATTAAGAAAAACAAGAATTAAATTCATTTTTTTTCTGAGTGATAAATAACTACAATATATTTTTATGTATGAGGCTTTATGAAAGGGTGGAAAGTTTTTTGGCGTTCTCATAGAGCCAGAAACACCGTAATTTTTACCTTATTCTGGTCATTTTCACTATACTTTTTTTCCACAGCAATATGTAAACTGAACAAATTGTAATTTAGTATTTCTTTTTCAGGGCATTATTATTATTTTTGTACTGATATGTTATTTTTAGCAGTTTATTATAGTTTTTTTTTTTTGGTATAATTTTTGTATCTTTAGAAGATTATTTTTATTATTATTCTTGTATCATTGCATTACTTTTAGAAAGTTATTATTATTATTTGTTTTATTTCTTACTTTTAAGTATTCATTACTATTATTTGTACTGTTGTATTGCTTTTAGAAGTTAGTTCTTTATTACTATTTTTCATACTAACATTAAATGTATTATTATTAATATTATTATTATTGTTAATATTATCATTATTATTAATGATTAAATTGGTGCTTTTTATTATGTTTTCTGATTTTGAAGTCTAACCCAGTAAGCCCTCCAATTAAAATTAATTTACATTGTTATTGAAGTATAATAAAATTTTTTTATGATTAATGGATCTGGTTTTTCTTGTTTAAATTTTATAAAAATTCATTAATTTTTGGTTCGTTTTAAGTTATAATTAATGTGTTTTAAATGCAAGTAATAATAAATAACATATACCATTTTCAAACTTTTTGAAGGAAATAACCAAGCTCTTCTTTATTTGGAAAATTCTGTGGTCCTAACTTAGCGACAAATTAAAACTGAAAAAAATTAAAAGTTCATGCAAAGCTATTTCCAAAAAATTATAAAATTAATGTCTGATAATAGCTTTTGGCGAAAAGCCAAAACAAAGAAACTGCTTGCAGCTCTTTAAAAACAGTTTTTCAAACACAAAGCTTGAATTAAACAATTAAATAAATGTGTCCAACTTTTAAACTTTTTATTAAAAAAACAGCGAATGTGATAAATTGTTTTATGCTAACTTGACCTTAAATTAGAATTCCTTTTGTTTAGAAGCACTAATGAGCATTTAAGCTAGATAAATTATTCATGTTCAGCCAATATTGCTTTGTTTTCAACAAAAACTGTTATTTTTGTAACAAAACTATTTAAAACTAGCACTCAGTAACTGAAGTCTGTAAACTTTGTCTTCTTGGTACTTAACAAATACAAATGTTTATTTTGAGTTGATAAATTAATTATAACAGTTCACAAAACTTGGAAGGATGAAAATGTTAAGTTTACTTACCATAAACAGTAAATATTTAATTTAACATATATTTTGGATCTGTTACATAATTTACGCGGTTTTAAAGATCAATTAAAAAATACTAGTTGAAAGTGGATATTCGATTGTGTTGTCCAAAATCATTTTTTTTCTAGCTATCTTTTATTAACATCAAGCAGTTCGAAAAACATAAACCGCTTAAAATACTTAGCTCATTTTGTCAATGAATTATATTATTTCCAAAGACAATTAGTAGTCTGCTAGCAACTAATAGCGTCGAAGAGGTTCTGATACCCAAAAGCATTTCAACGAAAGCATCGAAGAGGCTCTGATACCCACATGCACTTCAACGAAAAGCATCGAAGAGGCTCTGATACCCGAATGCATTTCAACGAATGAAAGCGTCGAGTAGATTCTGATACCCAGATGTATTTCAACGAATGAAAGCGTAGAATAGGTTCTGATACCCAAATGCATTTTAAACAAATGAAAGCGTCGAAGAAGATCTGATACTCAAATGCATTTTAAACGAATGAAAGCGTCGAAGAAGTTCTGATACCCAAATGCATTTTAAACGAATGAAAGCGTCGAAGAAGATCTGATATCTAAATGCATTTTATACGAATGGAAGCGCCGAAGAAGTTCTAATATCCAAATGCATTTTAACAAATGAAAACGTGGAAGAAGTTCTGATACTCAAATGCATTTCAAACGAATGAAAGCGTCGAAGAAGTTCTGATACCCAAATGCATTTTAAATGAAGGAGAGCGTCGAAGAGGCTGTGATAATCAAATGCATTTCAACGAATGAAAGCGTCAATCAAGATCTATTACTCAAACACATTTGATAGAGGTTCTGTTACTCAAATGCATTTCAGACAATGTAAGCGTCGATAGAAGATCTTTTTGCTGAAATTCATTTCAGATGGTAAAGGTGACGTTAAATGATTTGTTACTTTACTTAAATCATTTCAGACCATGAAAACGTGTACTGATCAAATAAATTATAACAAGTGAAAGCCTCTTTATAGGATCTATTACTGAAATACATATAAGCGGTTGAGAGCGTTGATACAGGATTTATTACACTACTCAAATTTATTTTAAACCTTGAAAACATCAATAGATGATTTGTTATACAAATAAATTTCAGAAAATAAAAGTTTCGATAAGGAAACTATAACTTAAATATATTTCGACCCATTAAATGCTTGATAAAAAATCTATTGCTGTTGTATATTTCAACAATGAGAAAAACAACAGTGACTTTCTCATAGACTGAATAAATAATAGTAATTTTATTCTCTTTGTTACGTTTCGGTCAAGAAACGTATCAACTACTGACATATTTCCTATTATAGGAGCCAAACAATCAGGATAACAAGCAGCAGCTAAAATTTGCGGATGGCGTAGATTTGTGCTTTGTTACTTAACTTAACTTGGTTGTTAAGATGTTACTTAAACATGGTTGTAAATACTTCGAAAAGAACCAACTTAGGACATTATAGAAAGATATAACTTGAGATAACTGCAAACAAAACGGAACGTAAATCATACCTTGCATTTTGTGGACCGACACTGCCTTCGTTATACGATGAACTGGCGTTTATTTCGTAGTCTTTGATTTCACCCGACTCCATGCCGAGGGCTGCCACACACTCCGCTGTAAGCAGAAAAAAAAAACATTTACATTCTAGAACAATTTATCAATAATCAAAATCACTTAATATAAAAACAACAATTGCTATAAAATAATGAGTTTGAACAAATTAATACTTCATCTTGCATTCGATTACTAATAATTTTGACAATCTGTAGTTGATGCATCGTTTGTTGTTGTTATTTATGCCATTTGCCAAGCAAATTTTTAAAACAGAGGGAGCGTTTCTTGCTTTTCAGTGGAGCCATATATGGTCAAAAATACGGTTTCAGCCGCACACACGTCACTGCCCGTTTTTTACAGTAAGGACCCATTCATACTTCGTTAATTTATCCACAGATCATAATTTTGACTTCAACCAGAGGACGATAAGCCAGAGGACTCAACCAGAGGAATTCGTATCGACCAGCCATCGCTGGAATTTGAATTCGGGTTACCTCATTGGGAGAGATTTTTCATTGAAACTTGGAGGACTTCTTGACCCTGACAAATTTAGCGTGCACCAATCTCCATTTAATACACAGGGATTCTTCGGCAGGCGAGATTCTAACTCGCGATCTCACGAACACGAGCCCAACGTCCTAAACACCAGGCTATCTCGGCCCCAGTACATCGTTTAAAATGGCATAGTAATGAATAATTCGCACGACGGCAATTATTTTAAATTAAAACAGGATTATAGTACCATTAGATTACAGGAAGATTTTCTTTTTAAGTAATTCTTCCAAGTGATTAAATTATAACACAATACTTTAAATTTCTAACAGATTTGGGAATTTAGCCTATAGGCGTTTTTTTAAGTTTAGTTTAAACACAGTTGTGATTACATTGAAATAGTGAACAACCTATAGGTTCGGTTCATGATTTTATAAAAATGGATATTAGAGTGCTAAAGTAATAACGAAGTTACTAAGATAACTCTAAAGTACCAGTTTTGAAAAATTGTATGCTTCAAATTAATGTCATGTTTTAATTTAAGAACTTAATCTTATCTAGTTCTAACACCAACCTCATAGATTTACATTCAGGTATGGCCATTTAGCAATAGGATTTCAAAGCTTTAATTAGATAACTTAATCATAAAAATTTTATGCATAGCTCGAAATCGTGAAATTTTTAGTTATTAATACAATACACACTATATTATATGAATTCTGAATTGAGTTGTAATTATATCTATGTAGTAAGTATCATTTGGTTTGAGTGGAAGATTTTCTTTCCAGTTATATTTCGAAAAAATGAAATAATATATTCATAATTTTTAACCAGTGTTGCAATTGTATTTGAAATTTAGATATCATTTAGTAGTAATGGAGGGTTTTCTTTCAATATACATTTTAAAAAATTGAAGTAATACGTTCTTAATTTGGAATTGAGTTATAATTTTAAGAAAATATATATATCATTTGGTTGCGAAGATTTTCCTAAAAGTTACAAATATTCGCAATTTTGAACAAAATTGTAATTGTATTGCAATAATAATAGGCCTCATTTGGTTGTGACGTTACATTTCAAAAAGCAATGAACTAATTTATTCCTAATTTTAAACACAGATGTAATTATATTAAAACAGTAGACGTCATTTGGCTTTGATGGAGTTTTTATTTTATTTTAAATTACATTTCGAAAAAAAAAATATAGTAATGTTTCTGAATTTTGAATGAGATTGTGTTTATTTTAAAATATTCGAAAGGACATGTATTTAGAAAATGGATCCAGTTTTAGATACTTCCTAAGTTTTACGTTGATTTTAGAAAAGATCTTCCCTAAAACTTATAGTTTTTTTTAAAATAGGGATTAAAAAATTTCAATAATTAAAAAGCAATTAATGGCTTGTAGGAACGATATTATATTAGAATGATATCGTCCTAATTTGCGTTTTAAACGAAGATTAAATGCCTTTTTTCATATCAGCCTTTCCACGAAATCAGGATATAATATTTTAGTCGATGACATTCCAAAAAATAAAGATAGAAACCCAGGGTAATTACGTCGATACCTGCTGATAAAAACGACACTGATTAACACACTTTCGGCAACAGATAAAAAAAAATAGAACAACGTCGATGAGTTTTTCCAATCGACACCTGAGTCATGACGTCATGAGAGAAAGGCTGGAATATGTTTTCCGGGGAACATTCCTCATACCGTTCGAGTGAAGAGCGGGAAAAAAGTAGATCCAACAAAAAGAAAGATATGAAAAAACTTTTTCAGGAGTGGGGAAAAATTTATAGCTGATAAGGGAGTCACGTTACGGGAGTCCTCCTCGTACCGGTACGAAACAGTTGATAAAAATAATAAAAAGCATCAGGGAAAAGTTAAAAAAGAAATGTAATGGAAAATAAATTTTTCCCATTAGCGATAGGGAAAAATAATTTTAAGAAATCGATTTCAAAAGTAATGGAAAAATCTTCTCTTCAAAGAGCTTTCGATTTCTTCGAGCTGTTTCTGATTTCGTCTTAAATTCAAAACTCGGATTGCTTCATTACATTTTTAGGAAGAAAAACGTTTGTTCTTTAATCTCCGCCGTCCTCAATGCATTTCTAATAAATTAAAATCGAAAGTGAAAAAGTGCTGCTCTTAAATGTACCATAAATGATGTAGGATTTTAACTTTTTTTGTTACGGTGGTATAATTTTGCGAGAAGTTCCGTAAATTAATAGCACGCTGATAAATTAACAAATTCTCAAAAAATAACCGCAAACATAATTTTGTTAATGAATGCGGTGCCGGTTTTTTAATTTAGCTAATTGAATTGCTAGGTTTCACAACTTAATTTTAACTGAAGCTAATATTTTTTTTATTTTTATTTCCAATGAGCTGTACAATCGGTCTGGCCGATGAGCAGACCTAGTGAGTTCTCCAGAGGTGGTATCCACTCCTTCAGGACCACCCCAATGGGTGAGATACCGTTGGTCATGTTAATTTGGACGTCTAGTTTCTACCACACTCAATGCATATAAACCACAGCTAATATAAACCATAGATGAGCTAATGAAGCTAATATAAACCATAGGATTAGGTTTAACGTAAGAAACATTTGACAACAGTGCAACAAAATGCTAGTATATTAAGTAAAGTTCAAGAAGCAGTGAAAAATATAAATATCATCATGTAAAACTCGAGTAGGTAGGTAAGTACTTTATTTACATCGCACTAGAGCTGCACAATGGGTTATTGGCAATATCCCTGAGGATCATCCGTAGACATGCCATTGCAATTTTGATCCTCTGCAGAGGGGATGGCTCCTCTGCTTTGGTAGCCCGACCACCTGCACGCGAAGTCGAGCATTTTACGGTAGAACAGTTTATCGAAGACCGATATCGTGCACCCTCGGTTTCTACGTAGGCTGATCAAAGTGGTCAACCATCCGTTTACTGACCGCAGCCAGTGATGCTTGACTTCGGTGTTCTACTGCGAGCCTCGTCTTTACGATCAGTTCACTGCGGGACAAAACTCGAGTTGGATTGTCAGTTGACAAGGTGCACGTTAAATCTGTCATGGCTGAAAGTCCCCTAGTTTGTTATGAAGTGGAAGTTTGGAAAGAGGGTTAGCCGCAAGCGTGCTGTCCACGTAGTTAGACCAGGGTCAAAAATACTTAGTGTTAAAATTACGCCTAACAAGGCCGTAAAAATAAAGAACCCTAACAAAGAGAGGGGCCCGAGGTTCAATCCTCGACTCCGCTAAGACCTTCCGAGTACATACGATATACTGTTCTGTGGTCAGTTGCTGAGCAGTACCATGGGTACTGGGAACAGGAAAAAATTTCCTTTCCCTTCACATATATGTCTAAATTGAGGAAGTGGCATCACAAATAAGATCCCCTCTACAGAGGATCAAAATTGTGATGGTGTGTTCCTAGACCGTCACCATTGCTCACTGTACTGCTCTAGTGTGATGTAAATAAAGTACCCACTTACCTACTCTAACAAATGGGACTGGTTGCTTGGGCATGGTTGGGTGATGTTTGTACCAAAGCTTACCATGTATGTTCTTCTTTGTTACAATTTATAATAAAATAAGTTTCAACGGAAGCGTATCCTATTTTCATGCAATACAGTTCACATTATGCATTATCATATTTCTACAAAATTTGTTAGCTTAAGCATTGTTGTGCAATATAAGCCAATATTTATCTCAAATTCTATCTCAATTTCGTTTTATTTTTTGTAGTAAGCTACGCTTACTTTTGAGTTTCATTATGGACAGTAAGCATTTTTTATCTATATATTTACAAACAAATAACGCGTATCGATAAGAAATTGGGGATACAAAGACGGAAAAACAAAGGACGATTTAAAATGAATAAAATTATATATTTTGATTCTTGATAGCGAATAGCGATATCATAAGGGAGAGGGGATTGTGCAAATTACATTTGATATTTCTGTGGAGGGTAGGATTCAAGTTTGCCTAAAAATGATAGCAATATATACTTGCCTAAAAATTATAGCAATGTATACTTGCCTAAAAATGATAGCAATATATACTTGCCTAAAAATGATAGCAATATATACGAATAACACTTACTTCACTGCACATTCACTAGATTTTGTCAGAAAATGATAAAATTTTTTAGAAAAACTCAATTTCAAAAAACATATCCTTAGAATTTGATAATAAAAAATATCCTCTCAGATAATGTTGGACCTCTAAAATAATAATGAAATTTGAGCTCTAAAATCATTGTATAATGCGAATTTGGCTAGATTGATAATTAAAACAGCTCTATCAAATTTGAATAATTTATAATTTTTCTTAAATATATAGTTAAATGTGTTATAAATGTATAGATATTTAGAAATAATAGTGTATTAAAGTTGATTTAAGGAAAAATAAAGTTAAGATAGGGTAAGTATATTTGGGGTGGGGCTATGTACAGTATTTTTCATTTTAGTTAGTTTGATATCGTGAGAAACCGTACAGATGCTTGGAAAGATCGATGGTAGACGATATATTTTGGAAGAAAAAAGAGTGGACAGGTACTTACGGGCGATGATTGA